GTGAGTATTGAATCAAGTGACTGTGTTTCTTCATCATCACTGTCTTCTTCCATTATCTACCTGGTACTCTCTCAACACTATACGGCCAGATTACAGTTGTTAGGTATCTGGAAAAATGCACACAGAGGGTTATGGTGAGCAGAGGGAAGCAAGAGATGCAGATTCAAACCAGCTATGTGAGGAAGTAATAAAATCTTCAATGCTTTCAGCCCTGCTCCTGGCTATGGTCTCAGCAATGGCTGCTCCAATAATCTCATCCACCACCTCCCATGAAGCTGAGGACAGACAGCTGCTCCTGTTTCTCATCAGTTAGCACCTACTGCCTCTGTTGTCCACCACCTTGTCCTACAAAGATTGGCAGATCTGCAGTGTATCATGTGATACAATCTGCTTGGATAATATAGCTGTCATGAATAGCTGGCAGTGTGTACATGCTGGGAGATGTGGGTGTGAGACTGGTAGAAATACTAAGTGTCTGAGGGTGAGGTGAAACTATTAATGTGAGCTATGAGTCATAATATGAACATATGTGTTTGTGATCGATAGAGATTGTTGAAAATTCAGTTATACAATGGTAGATTTAGCAATGTCTGAGGCTAGTCATCAAGATGGCAGAATATGGCATTTGAAATGCCCTTGACCACACATGTGACGCCACAAATTTTTTTGTGACACTGCATCCAGGTCTTGACTCCTGACATTGACCCCCAGTTAACTGTTTCTGTTGCTTTCGAAGAACTTCACTGGAGGACAACTTGGACCTGTCTGGATCAAAAGGATCTCCTCCTCTGCGCGCCCTTGATTATGTGCTCCAGTGCCATGTTGGAAAAGCTTGGAGCCTGCTTTCTCCTGTGCCATACTTCTATCTTCTCCATTTCGGAATTAGTTATAAATTGACTTCCAGCTCTTGCTTCAATAACTGGTGTTAGCCCCTCACACTTTTGATCCCTTGCTGAGGTGTGGGGGTGCTTAACATCATTGTTATGAATGTACAAATTAGAAGCAAGGGTGGATCATTTGTTCCCTTATCCTATTCTGCCATTCAACAAGATCATGACTGATTTGATTGTGGCCTTAACACCATAACTCCACAAATTCGCTTACCCTAATACCTTTTGCAAACCTTTGTGTTGGCTGCGCATGACAATAGTTCACACACGGCTAGCACAAGGAAATTTGCATGCTGCCAGTATTGGAAGCAACAAGTGTGAGTTAATCAGAATCTCGTTTCTTGGAACCCCGCAGCCCAATGGTCTCAATGTGGACTTCACAAGCTTCAAAATCTCCCCACCCTCGACCCCATCCCAAGACCAGTCCAGCTCATCCCCGCCTCCTTGACCTGTCCATCTTTTCTCCCACCTATCTGCTCCTCCCACCTCACTGACCAACCTCCATCCCCATTTCTTACTTACTAGCCTCATCCCCGCCTCCTTGACCTGTCCGTCTTTCCTCCCACCTACCCGCCCCTCCCTCCCAACTGACCAACACCCATCCCAACTCCCTTCCTACACTCAGCTTTATTGGCTCCATCCCCGCCTCCTTGACCCGTCCGTCTTCTCTCCACCTATCTGCTCCTTTATCCACCTTCTATCATCGCCTCCCCATCTCTCTATTTATTTCAGAGTCTCCTTCCCCTCCCCCATTTCTGAAGAAGGGTCCAGACCCAAATCATCAGCTTTCCTGCTCCTCTGATGCTGCTTGGTCTGCTGTGTTCATCCAGCTCTACACCTTATTATCTCGTTTCTTATCCTTGTTTTCACCATTTTAATAATTGGTATTTCTTTAGAGTTTACCATCTCCCTTCATGCTTAAAAATCTTTTGAATTATTATTCATTTTTACATTGTTTAAGTCCAACCTAGTTTTTTTTTACAGGATATGGATGTTGCTGGCTAAGTCAGTATTTATTGCCTATTCCTAACTGCCTTTCAGAAGGTGGTGGTGAGCTACCTCCTTGAACTGCCACAATTCACGTACTATAGGTGGATCCAGAGTGCTGTTAAAGAGAGAATTTTGACCCAGCATCAGAGAAGGAATTATAATATAGTTCCAAGACACGATGGCATGTGGCGTGGAGACAAATCTGGATGTGACAGTGTTCCCATGCACCTGTTGCCTTTGACCTTATACATAGTTGCAGGGTTGGACAGTGCCGTCCAAGGAGCCTTGGAAAGTTGTTGCAGTACATCTTGTAGTTGGTTCAGTTCTGCTGTATTTCATTGTGGATGAAGAGCATGAATATTAAGGTTGTTGATAGGGTTCTAAACAAGCCATCCACATTATCCTGGATGATGATGTACTCCTGAGTGTTGTTGGATCTGTACACATCCAGGGAAGTGTAGATTATTCCTGACTTGTCTTGTAGATGATGGGTAGGTGTGATTTCCTCACACAGAATTCTCAACCTCTGACCTGTCCTTTAAGCTATAGTATTTATATGGTTGGTCCGTCTCAGTTTGGTCAATGGTAAGCCCAGGGGAATGATGGGGGGAGGGTAATCGACCAATGGTAATGCAACTAAGCATCAAGTGCAGATTGTCAGATTCTGTCCTGCTGGACATGCTTGTTGCCTGATGCTTATTTGGCAAAAATGTTACTTGGTGATTATCAGCCAAGAACTGAAGGTTGCTATATATAGATACAAACTGTTTCAGTATCTGAAGAATCATGAATGGTGCTGAATGTTTGTGCAATCATTAGCAAACATTATGACTTCTGACCCAATGATGGAAGAAAGGCCATTGATGGAGCAGCTATCAAGAGTTCAGCCAATGATGTTTTCCCAAAGAACTTCTACAGAAGTGCCCCAGGACTTTGCTGATTGGCCTTCACTATCTTCCTTAATGTAAAGTATGATTCCAACCATTATTATACTTTGTCTTTCATATTCATTAACCTTAGCTTTGCAAGCATTTCTTGGTGCTGCATGCAGTCAAAGGCATCTGTTGTCACTTCTCTCTGGTAAGTTTGAGTCCATATACACCTCTTTCAGTGTACTTGGGGAAGGATGACGAATACCTCGTAAGTGCAGATATGTTTTCAAACTAGATACTATATGAAAATAAGCAATTTGTATTACTTAAATATGACCAATGCTTATCATGGCCTATTGAAATTAATTTGAAGTTAAATTACTAGTTAGACATTTATATATTACTTTGGCCATATTCCTAATTCCTTTTTTAAGAACCTAAGGACGTGAGGAAATGGGTTTTGTACAATATGCAACCTATCTGTGTACCAAATAAAGGTGAAGAACTATCAGTTCTGAATTATTTCCTTGACCTACAAAGATAATTGAATGAAATTTTCAACTTCCCAACCTATCATTATAATCCATAATAATTATTGCTGAGAGAGTAATTAACTCAGTTGTCTAGATACTTAGCATGTGATTCATAATAATCCCAACAGTGCAGGGTTTCATCCATGAATAAGCAGAGATAGTCTCAGGGCCTGCTTCCTGTCACAGCACAAGCTGTGGTTCAATGGCCCTAAAGTAATCAAAGATACTGCCTGGAGAAGAAGAAAATTATCCCTGACAATTTATAGTTTTGAGGAGACAAACACAAGGAACCATAATGTTTCATGCATTAATCATCTATAATTAATTTCAGGTCAGTAATGCAAAAACATTCAATAATTTAAAAAGAAACAAAAGCACAAAGAAGCTTCACTGAGACAGTGCAACTTCATGAGTCGTTGGAAGTAATAGACATTGGACTCAAGATCATGAATTAGTACTTGAATTGTGACTAAAACTCAAAATCAGTTTTCTTCATTGAATGACCTTCAGCTGTACCTCTCACTGGACTCTAGATTAAAATTACTTTATAACTAATCTATTATACCATGCAATTGCATAGTAATATCACACATGAATTCTTATCCTTAAATAGAAAGATTACTGTACACAGAATTGAAATAGCACATGGCTTTCAAAGAGCAAGGAGTCAGATTTCTACATGCTGTTGCATACAAGGAAGGTGAAGAAATAAATTATTTCTAGATCATGTTTATTTTGTCATGGCAGGAGCTGGTCTAGATATGACCTAGGATTTTAATAGATTCAATAAATACTAGTTACCTCAAAACACCAAGATTCTTTTCCTTCCAGTTTTCACCTATGGCTACTTTTTTTTCATATTTTGTTCTTTTCTTCTGAAGGTAATCATTTGCTTTGTGTTCAATTCCACAAATGTAAGACATCACTGATATCAAGTCTAAATGGTTGTTCTTCATTTGTGAGAGTGATAGAAATTCTTGGTATGCTATCCAACTTAGAGATCACCCTATCTTTGTCTGTTTTCCACACACACATTCCAGTATGAGTCACTGGACAGCAAATAGAAGAGAGAACCATGTCTGTTTCTTTGCTACTCCAGTCCTTTGAGCTCAATTATTGCGATCTTGTTGTAGCAATCAGCTAACTCAGCAAAGATTAGGAATCAATGTCATAAGTTGCATTTATCCGCTGAAATGGTGATAGAATTCTACTTTTTAAACTTGTTTGATCCGCTAATTGTGTGAGAAAAACTTTGATATCAAGATAGTAAATGTGGTGCCAAGAATATGACAGAGTACTGGGATATAATTTCATATTGTTTATCACCAATATTGGTGAGTTCCCATTCTCAGTCCCATTATTGCATGAATAATCTAAGCTGAAACCTACTATCTCCCTACAGAGAAAGTATCCTGCCCGCTGGTGCCTGGTTTCTTAGCTTCATTAGTAAAGGTCTGGGAGCAGGTTGCCAGCTTTCTGCCTTGAATATAACAAGGGATTAGAAGATTCAATTGGAAAAAGCAACAGAAACAAATGAAATTGTGGGATGGTCACCATTAAAGGACATTTTTGACGTTTTAAAGCTAATTTTTATTTCAATGGAGAGAAAAGTTCTGGTTACAGCCAGAAGAAGTATTATCAAATCACAGTGGTATTTGGAGTTTGTGGCAGATCTCACCAACAGCGATGCAGATTTGTGTTTTTCTTTGCTTTAGGCTCCAAATGAGGATTCTGGTGTTGGCGAGCAAGCTGCACAGATAGAGCAAGAACTGAATGGAAATAAAAAGAAGGCAAAGATGATTAAGGCAGGAAAGGGAGATCTCCATTTTCCAGAGCTAATGTCAACTGGCCATCAAGTGGAAGTGAAGGGGCTGGAAGGTACAGAACGATTTCCACACCTTATAAAACTTAAATAACTATCTAATCTCAGAACTAGCTGGTCAAATCACATGAACTGACAATACTGAAAGTTGTGCATATCTGGGAGGGTGACAGGATGCAGCAGATATCACCTTTGTCAACTTCTACAATAATCATTGATAGCTTTACTTGCATTTTTCACATTTGGACAAAAATACAGCACAATAGCCTTGCAAACAAAGAGAGGGGTGATTTCCAATAAATCAGATAACAGGCCCAGAGATTAAGATACAGGGAAAAAATAATTGTATCATTTAGACTAATTAGTGGAAATCTTAACCTAACCCACCCATTGGGAAAGAGGATTGGGTGCACTGTTGGATTTATACCACACCTGATTTTACTCCCTATTGAAATCAGTGAAGAATAATATTGAGTTAAGTGTAAAATTGACACTCCATTCAATTCTGAGAGTTTATTGCTAAGTGATTTAAATTAAAATGATCTTCCTTTTTATCAGGCAATTCTTTAGGATGTAATGTTCCAAAAGATAGTGGAGGAAACATGTGTAGGGGTATAAACGCCAACAGGATTGTTGTGCCTGATTAATTTACTTTTGTTTGTTTGATACTGGCAGTGTGCAAATTTTTCACTTTCTACACAATACAATGACTTGAATATCCAGCTACTACTAAGGATGATATGGATAGGCTGGTCCCCTAACTAGGGTATACAAATTCATGGGGGAGGCACTGATGTGAGATTAAGTTAATTTGCTACTTAAATCCAAACTGCTCCTGTTAAAAGGAAGTTCTGTTTTGGCTGGACTAGCTACTGATATTAATTTCACAAGTGTTACTTGGAAAATGCACAATAATAGCCCAACATGGTGAAAAGAGGCTCTACTGTTCTTCAACACAACACTAAAAGGCTGGGTACAGTGTGTGAAATTCAGCCAAACATTCGTATTGGACTCAGATGCCAGAACAACACCAAAAAAGTCAGTATATTGGAAACAGATGGCTGTTTTTTTTTCTCTAAGCTATATCAGATATCCTGTCTGTCAAAACAGACCATGAGAAAGTGGCATTATTTTTCTTCAGTAAAAGCTATCAAACAATTTCTTTCATCTTCAAGATGTGGGTATACAAATCATTTCAGATCATGACACTACACTTCTCAAGCACTGTTTTGTTTATCAATTGTGAATGCATTATTATACACACTCCAAAAGAGAAACATGTTCTAATGCATTTCAATGCTTACACCATGCTGAAAATGTAATGGTCAAATTATCTTTGCAGGATAGAGTCCTACCAACAATCACTGCAGTAAAACACATCCACCATATCATATAGCACCTAATAATGACATTTGAAGGCATTTAGTACTTACCTGTCATAATGTTTCTGTTGCAGGTGAATTCTAGCCTTTATTTTCTCTTGGACGAGATGACGCTCAGTTTCTTTTTTGTAAGTTTATTCATGCATGCATGGGAGATGTATGCACCAAAAAAAAGCACACAAATCAAATCTTCATCACAAGAACAAAGGTTTTATGCTACTCTTGTAGAAAGGAAACTTCCAACTATTTCTACAAATAATATAATTAAAGTGCTTCCAACTTTTTAACTTCTTTCTCTATCCTAACCTGGTTGTGTAACTGACTGTCCAAGGGAGTGCACATGACTATGTTATTCAATCATATTCAACTGAATATATGTGATTATATTACTCACTCATATCATTCACAGGTTAGCAGCTCCTAGCTGTAATACGTACTTTGTGACTAAGAGTAAACCTACACCGTCCATTTTCCCTTTCTGTTCCTCCTGTTGGACCTTGGCAAATGCCCAAGTAGGCCAGACACACACGTGTACACGCGTACGCACACATATTTCTTTTCTTTCACCAGTTGCTTGCAGTTGTCAAAAGTACCTTTTGTGAGGTTTGAAGTTTTTCTTAGACTGTATCAAATTCATCTTGCTGTTCTTTGCTCATTGTTGTAAGCCTTTGTGGAAGATCTGAAACTTCTTTTTCATATCAGATTGAATATCGCTTTCTAACTTCATATTCTGGCTATCTCAGCTTCTGTATCACTTCTCTTTGCTGTAGAAGTTTTTAAAGTGACTGAACTAGCACATGATAACTTTTTTGCTTCCCAGTAGTGATCTGGCTATATACTCTGGGAAGAACTTCTTCAGTCAACTGTGATAACATTTGCTTTTGCTGCATCTCCTGGGCAGGTTCTGTGCAGTAAGTAGACAATTTTACATCTTTATCTTCTTGAAGAAAGGACTGATTCTCCTTAAAACAAACAACTAGGATTTTAGAAACACTGCCACCTGAATTTGAAAGTACAGGAAGGTCTAAAGTTTAATATTAAGTAAATGAATGCTGGTTTCCTTCTCTGCAACTATATTCTGAAAGAACAAACCACTATCTGAATGCTCTGTGGCTGTTGTCCATCACCTTTTTCAGTACCTTCTTTTCCATCTCCTGTTTCAAGAGGAATTAACCTTCTACCCTACCATCTTACACTGCTGGACTAGAGTCTGGTGTTCGCTAACCAAAGAACACCTAAAAGTATAGAAGTAGCTCCATTTAACAAAGAATCACAATGATTAGGATATTTATACCAGGTCCCAATAATCTCTTTCCCATTGTAGTGAAGCATAGCTCTCATTTGGTTTCTTACTCAGATTCTCAAGCCCCAAATTTTAATACACAATGATCTAAGGATTCCTGGGTTCACTGCAGCTAGCATTCAAAAAGATTGATGTGTATGATTCAGCACCTAATTTATAACTAAATTCTCTGCTGTTTACTTTGATCACTGCATACCAATTTCATCCTGCAAGTCACTTCTGACAAGGAAATCAAATTCTTGCTATCGGTCTGTCAAATCCTGTAGAAAATGTTCATTCTGCTATTTTATGGTACTTAACTGCTAGGATTCCTGTAGATTGCTGTGGTCTATGTTGAATTTTCTGTGGTGCTACTGCAGCCTTCCCCAGTTCTCTCACTTAGCATTCATGACTGTACATGAAATTGGCCAGGTTGTGTTTCTGTGGGTGCAGTTCCTCCAAGATTTGGACGCTGCCTTGTGCATTTGAGTGCTTGCCATCAGTGTATCTTCTGAGTACTCATTTCTTCCTATCCCTGTAAATAATTTTTATTTCTGTCATACTTTACCTACTTGGCTGATTGGTTCTTTCCTATAGCTAATAGTGCATGCTGCAGTGGGCTTTCTCTTAAGCTTTCTTCATCTGCTGGTTGGCTTTCCTGTTCTGCAGTTCAGTGCCTACATGTGCCTTCAAGCCCATTGATAGTAACCTCCTACCACCACTGGTCTTTACTTTGGATATATTTTCCACTTCTGGGTTTAGATCACTGGGTTGGCCTCATGGTTTACCATCGCTGCACTTCACTTCAGGCTCTTATTGCCTGCCCTGCGTTTGCATGGCTCCAATCACTAAAGTGAGATCTAAATTCTTGTGATTGAACAGCAATAGGCTTTACTGAACATTAAATAATGGCAAGACAGGACATCTTACTTGGTGCCCGACAGACCCAGGTGCCAGTTCCATGTAATTGACATCACTATGGCCTAGCTCCATTTGCAACACTTAGAGTAAAGGTTCAACAGCCTGCATTACTGTTGGGAGCACACACAAGTGGCTCGAGGCCCCAACGGCGGAATTGTAGGATTGGTCCCAAAGCAGTTACTTCAGGGACATGGCACAATCTGAGGCTGGGCGAGGATTGTATGTCTTGCAATGATTGGTAGGAGGGGGAAGCCCAGTAAAATGGAGGCCTAAGACTTCCTTGAGCATTTCAGAAGAGCACTCCTGCACCCTCTACAAAAATAAATGTAAAATTTACCTTTCCAGTCTCTTGTTGGCATGAATTGAACCCTGAAAGTCTTTGCCTGAACTGATACAAATCCACACACTCCACCCCTACTGTGGTTCAGGTAATGGATCCACATATTTAAACTGAGAGTCGGCTTCCTTCTTGCAGCATCCTGGTCATCTGTTTGAAAGACCAGACAATATTGGAACATGTCGAGAAGGAAGCCTATTAACTTGCGATGCCCACTCACGTTGTAACCCCTCACTGAGGGCAGTTTAAACCAAGGCTGAATTCTGAAAAATGTTCTAATTTCTTGACTATAGTCAAACATTATCTTCAATAGAAAGAAAAGTGTATTCCTTATGCACAGAAGTCCAGAATTGAATACTGGGCTGCAATTACTCAGCATATCAGCCCACACAGTTTTTACAAGTTTTTTTCTGGAGAGCTCAGAGATAAATTAAATGTCAATCTGCTCATCTGAAAGCTCAGAACAATAGGGTTTAAAGACCCCATTGTGCTGAGAGATCATTGTATGCATCAGTGATAAACAACTGATGTCTCATCATTCTACTGACGGAAGGATTCTGTATGTCAGCCTTATTAACGAATTTTAATGAAAACAGCAGAATATATCAGCCAAAGTGCAGTGTTAACTACAGATTGCATGATGGCTCCTTAATGTTTATCTAATAAACTGCTATAAGGTATGGTTTCATCATGGCCAGGTTAACTGAAAGAGGAAATGTACTCTATGCAACTACAGCATAATCCTTACACTTATGAATTTACAATAACATTAGTCGATTTCCTGTGGTACTGCACTTGGGGAGGGTTGGCAGTGGAGGTGGAGGGTGACGGGCAAGATGTATTTTCAGCTGAAGTCGGGCCAGAGGTTGGAGAATGATTGACTGTATGAGGGCACACGCTCGTTCCTCATTTTAATGTTATCCATATTGCGGTACAGCATGTATTTTACAAGCAGAAATTGAAGCATGAAGACGCAGTACAGGAAGTTGCAGTGTTGGTGTGAGGAAACAGAGGGGCTTCTACGAGACTGCTTAGAGTCAGTGGATTGGTCCATATTCAAGAACTCAGCGGCCATATGAAATGAGTATGCCACTATCATTACAGACATCATTAGCTAGTGTATAGATGACTGCA